GCGGGCCTCTTCCTTCGGGACTTCTCTTCTGCAACGAAGCCTCTCTATTTTTCTTCCTCTTTGCTTCGAGTCTTTGGGCAGGGCTTTTCGATCGATCCAGTTGAGGTTCCATAACCTGGTGCTTCTCCTCTATCTGCAACATCGCCACATCTGTTCGGGAGTGCCAGATCTCTGCAGTTTCATCTTGTTTTCGCCACTGCTATAGCAACCCAATCGTGGCGGAAGATAACCTGGGTTCTATGGTCAGCCGGATCCGAATTGCAGAGAACAAAGCCGAGATCCTCCCACTGCATCTGTTCCGGAAACAGGATGATGCTAAAGTGAAAATGTTACAGGTGGTTGGGAACTTGCTATCCCGACGGAGGATCAGCCTTAATGGCCTCCAAAACGTTTTAACGACTTCCGGGAACCCTAAGAAAGCTCTTGTAATTGTCGATCCAGGTGGCTGTCATTGGAGATGGATTGGGTTTTCCGACCGAAAACAGAAGGAAAGGATGGTGGTTGTGAAAGCTGACGGTGTTCTACGAGGGGAGAACACTATTCCAATCGTTAAAGGGGCTCCCGTTCCCTTAATGACTTTCGGCCGCATGGGATTAAAGAGGATTGGAGCAATTAGGGCTATGGTTGGGAGCTCATGGAGCCAAGGGAGGTGGTTGGGCTTGGTTGGAGGACCATGCCCCTTCTTGCTGCTTATTCCTCAATGAATAGATAGGGCGGCAACTTGTGGGTTGGAGACTGTTTGTTGCCGAAATCCCTTGCTCTCCCCATGAAGCTGGTTAACTAGGTGAGGACGTCCAGTAGCTTCCGATGCTCATAGTGACACTCCTTTTCTACATTAGTAGCCTTATTTAACCCATACAGTGATTGCAATTGTAGTCTCTAGTTGCAGATGGCTCTCTTTACTTAATTGTCTATATTCGTCATGGGCATAGTTTAAATCTGTTACTAGGCTGTAGGTTATGCTTCTGTTTCTGCTTGTTAGGCTCTCATGCTTTAGGCTATATGCCATGTGATGGAGTTTTTACTGTACGTTCTTATTATTCAATATATTTCTCCATTTCTTATCAAAAAAAAGGAAAGAGTTAAATATATTACATTGTTTCAATAAAATTTTATTGAAAAGTATTAAAAATCATATTTTTATAACATGGATTAAGTTATTTTTTGTTTTTAATTGTGATATTTTATTTAAATGATATTTTTTTAAGGTGATTTTTATCTTAATTTTAAAAAGAGTGAGATAAATATGTAAAGACTAACCTCTTTTGAAAATGATGGTTATAATTTCTCAATATAAAAAGGAGATATTGTGGAAACATTCTATTAATTTACCATTTAGAAAGTAATAGAAGGAAAAACAAAGGAACAGGAAATTCCATTGCCCAGAAACTTACCTCCAGCAAAAGGAGGCATCAGGGAAAATTTTATTCACTTACCGTAGAAAAAGAGCAAAAGAGGTGACGATGAAATGGGTAAGAAATTCACTTAAACTTTGTAAAGAATAGAAAGATGAACTGGAACTTTCAAAGAAATGGGACAGTTGGCTTTAGTCAATTATTCACATTGTGGCAGAAAGCAGGAAAAGCGAAGCATTGGCTAAGCAAATGTAGGAAAAAGCAAAAAGCAAATAGGAAACATCACAGAAACATAATTGCATTGGCTAAGCAGAAATCCATACGCGCTTATACCTACAGTGGTGTCTAGGGTCTATAAAAACAGGGCTGCATTTCAATTTCTCCTCATCTGCGCTCAGTTTTCTCACAAACACCATCTCTGTTTGTCTCTCAGGATTCTCTTGCGTTTGCTATATATCTTTCTGTGTGGCTAAGCATTTTGGGATCAGATCTGGTAAGTGATTACGTTTTCTTTGCAGATTCTTCGTCAACATTTCATCCTATTTTAAGTCCAGTTGCTGCTACTATCTTTGCTCTCTCAACACCATTCCCCCTTTTTTTTTGCAGAGTTTAATTGTGCTGGCCGGCTCAAAAGGGGAATTTTGAAGAGAAATGACAGTTGGCATTAACCCTTGATTTCACTAGTATCTGCTATTCATCTTCCAAGAAATATCCTCTTGACTCTCTCATTGATTTGCCCGCTTTATATTCTCTCTTATCCGTGGCCGGCTCAACTCTTCTAATCGGAAAGAAAGTTCAGGCTCTGCAATCGCGCAATTAAGCTACTTCTAATTTTTGCTTGGCCTTAGTGTCTCAACTTCCTTTAATTTCTTGTGCTAATCCTGCAGGTACACTATCTATTTAGTTTTTCAATCTTGCTTTTGTTATGTCCTCTTTAGAATATATATATAAAATGAAAATGTCTCAATTTTATTGTGGATTCGCATGTTCTTATTGACAAAGATGCCTCTTTCTAATTAGATTCCTCGTTTTTAAATTGTTTGTGTTTACCTTAATTAGAAGCTAAGGTACTTTTATTAATCTAGAAAATTCTCTCTCTCTTTTTTTTTTGGGTACTCAAGGTACATGTAGACATGTCTTCCAAGTGATCATATTGGAATCATATGCTATTCTTCTAGGAAATATCCATCAAACCCTCTAAACAGGAGAATTAAGTTTACAGTTGCAGATTTACAGATCTGCTGCGTATTCTAATTTGCTTGGCTTAATCTTGGTACCAGTGTCCAACTTTCTTCGATTCCTTTTGCTAAACTTGCGGCAGGTACACTATCTATCTAAATCTTTAATTTTAGATTTCTCCATTGGTGCACAATTTGATTACCTTAGATTTCTTGCTTTCAATTGATTGCTAGTTCAGTTTTTTCATTTTTTTAAGTGACAAGTTGAATAATGAAAAAAGCCAGTGACAATTTTTCCAACTTTTTTATAGTTATTAAATATAAAAAATATAATTAATAGACATTTAACTTATATTTATACATATTAATCAAATTCTTAAATAAAAAAACTACTCTAAATAAATTTGATCGATAATTTCAAGAAATTTTTTTAAAACAAGTAAATACTAGCTAGAAACTGAAATCAACAAAAAAATTCAAAATTAGCTATTGTATTTATCATTGATTACTTATACATATGAACAATCACGTAATTTCAACTCTCTATTTTTCATGCAATCTTTGTATGGTACAACGCGTTTCCCCATAATTTTTAAAATATTCTATCTAAAATAGGAAAAAAAAAAAATCCAAATTCAAGAACTTGAGAAATTTCTTTAAAAAAAATAATAAAAAGAAAAGAAAAAGGAATCTTCTCGACGCGTACTATCACCAGGAAACCAATTCGGCCAGTTATTCGATTTTTTCGACGTGCTCTGGGGATAACCTCTTCGTCGATTTTCTCTCCTTCTCCTGTCTGAAATCAAACCTTGAAGCGTCCGAGACGTCTTCGTAGCTCCAGCCGGCTTTCCGAAAAGAGTCTGACAACCGGTCGGGTTTGAGAAGAAGCGCATTGAGGACGGCTTGATTGTCCAGCAGAACCATTTCCTCCTCGAAAAATCCTAAAGCTGAGACGTCGACGATGTCCGATATATCGATCTCGTCCCACCCACCCTCTATCAGAACCGACCCGATTTGTTCAATGCACTCCTCGACCCATTTGAGAATTTCGAATCTCGGCATTTTGAAGTACCTTTCTGGTGACGAGCTCAAAGGCCAGGGCGAGTTTCTCCGGCGCCGATCAATGGCCACGTCGCTCCAGAACTCGCCCATCTCGGGGTTGGGTGGGGCCCATCAAAGCCGAGCTGTAAAAAAAAATTAAAAAAGGGGTTAGATGTCTGACCGTCTGGTGGTTAACGGCTTAATTCAAAAAATCATCTACTAACTTTCAATTTAATTTCAATTTTATCTATTATTTTTGAATTGTTTCCATTTTGTCTATTGTTTTTCACATTTATTTCAATTTTATCTAAGCAGTTAAAGTTAAGAAATCCTAACGAAAATTTTCTTAAACCTTAGTACTCTAACTATGTTTCTTTTAATCTTTTAATCATTAAATTTATATTCACAATAAAAATAATTTTTATTTTTATTTTGCTAATTGTGTTTTTCAGAAAATTGTTTTACAGAGCAGACTGCTTTCAGTCCACCCTATAAAATTATTTAAATACCCTTAATTCTATTTTTATATTATTTTTGTATGAACTTTTAAATAATTTTATAAAACAGATTGTACACAATCTGTCCTATAAAATAGACTTATTCTTAAAATTTCTTATTCTGAACTTATTGAATTTCTCTGTCTGAATTACAATATATCTCTATAAACTATTTTTTGATTCATCATATTTTATTAGGATTTAAGTGTCACTTTTTTAAAACTCAAATGACTACTTTTCCTTCAAATCTAACGGCAATTTAACGTCATCTTTGTACGGTAAACTAATTTGAAATATTTTTCAAAGTTTCTAGATTATTTAGAAATGAAACAAACTTTTTAGACTAAACTGAAATTAAACTGAAAGTTAGTAAATGATTTTTTGAATTAAGCCAGTGGTTAACTATCAACAAACTTTCTGTTACCTCAAATTGAATGGAACTTAGATGGAATGATGATATGATATATTTTTAATTACTAGAAGGACATTAATTAATAGTAGGATTTTTTTAATTTGGATTTTAAAGGCATAAATTAACAATATATTAAATATAT